AGGAGGTGTCACACAGCCTGGGCACACTGTGACAGTAACGTGATGCTACTCAGTTCAGATAAAGAGTAGAAAGACATCCCTCCTGGAAAACCTTCATAACATTTATGAGTTTATGTTCTATTAATGATTGTGTCCCCTTGGGCTCATCAGCAGCCTTTTTTCAACTGAAATTTGACCAAATTTAGTCTGGTTATGCATCAGCTGTGGGAGAAGATCGAGGATCTTGACCAGCTGGGAGTTAGTAGCCAAGTTAGTCGTCTCTAAGCAATCCTGTCTTGTCCACATATCGTTCACTTTTAATATCTCCCTTTCCAATTTCCAAACATATTTACCAATTCCCAGACCTACCTGTTCCCAGAATAAATAGGGAGGTATCAAAATGAACAACCATCAGAACCACACAAAAGAAAGCAACTCTCCAACTGTTGCATATCAGAAGTTTAGTATCATTTGAAACAAAACTCATGTATTATTTTATAAACTAAAGTTATAAAAGTAAGTAAACAAACAAAGCTCTTTGTGAAATCCTGGAAATTTGAATAATAGCCTTGAACATTATGCACCATTTTTCCAACTGGTCAGTTTTGGAGTACAGTAGAGTTTTGGAGTTCCATTTCTGCACAATCAACCTTTTAATTACAGCTCTGTGACCAGTCTCCAAGAAAATAAGGAGAAATTTAAAAATCACTACCCTTGCAGCCTTACTTTAAAATAATACCCTGTAAATATTCATCTTTTAAATACTGGAAATTATGTCTATGTAACCAAAGCACACTTTTTAATCTCTACTTTCTAATCTCCACTTTTTAATCTGATTAAACAAATTTGAAAGCTGATTCCTCCTACTGTGTTTAATACTAGCACTCCTCCTAACTACTTATTTCCCAGCAGGAACTGTCTCTGAGAGCACATTCACATTATTACTCCAGGCTGATCTACACAGCGACTTTGGACCAGAAGACTTGCTATATATGGTATTTACTCAGGGACAGTGCTTAAAGCACTAAAAATATCAAGCAAACAGAAAAAAATATTTGAAATATTACAGATTTATTAAGAACATAAACCACCGCATTAGAAAGTGCCCAGCATTTCCAGCAAGGCATCTCCACTGCAAGTCCACCTTTCAGATTTACTGATAGTTGGTTCTATCCCATACTAGAGGCTGTAAGATTTTATTTTCCTAGTTTAGGGGGTTTATTATCAAATATTTTTTTTCAGAAAAAGAAAGAAACTGTTACTAGACTCACCAACAATAGAAAAAAAAAACTTAGTTTGGGAGCCCTTTCTTGCCAAGGTCGGGGTGCCACTTACCTGTGCTGGTTTTCAGTTGGGTTTAAGGCTGTTAAATACCAGGCAGGATGGGACTTTATTCTCTAATGTGTTCTGACAGGGTCCTTTTTTATACTGAAACCTCTGCAAGCAGATAACAAGCTACAGGGTTGTTATGGACCCCTCATTCCAGCCATAAACACAATTTACATCCAGACCATTTTCTGCCAGTGGAGCCAACTGAGACTATTAATCAAATGAGAAAGAAAACAAGCATTTGTGGAGCTTTAAAACAGATACTGTTCATCTGTTATTTAAAGCATGACAGTATCAGAGCACTGCTTAATGTTTGAGGATCAGTTGAACAATATTTAGAATGAACTGTTCTTAAAAAGGAACAACAATATGAAGTACAGAAGTTAAATAATTGATGATGGGTCTGGGACAGCATTAAAGGAAACCGTCTCAGAGCAAAGGCACTGCCTTTTTCAGCCCTCCTGAGCACTGTGGAAACTTGGGTGCCTGCAAAGGTGTTTGCTGAAAAACAACAATAGATGACATCAACCAAATTATGGATTCAGCAAATAACTCTGGTGGCATTTGGGGGGGCTTTGTGTAGGCTTTTGCAGCACGGGAGGCAGATGGTGATTACACTGACTGCTGCAAAGCTGTACAGAATGTTACATTAACTGGTAATGAGAAAATTCAATTTCGCTTCATTTCTATTTTCAAACACACTACTTTTTGCCATTAAAAAAAAAAAAAGTGTGTATGTTGAAAAGTTCATAAAGCAACATCTCCAGGCTGTAAACGTGTCAGTCTTGGTCTGTTCACATTATTAGAATAAAGAGCTGAGGAAAAGTATTTCACAAACTGATCTCTGACTCAGACACACCAAGAAGAAATCACAGAAAGTCAGCCTATACATTTACATTTACATTACTCAGTCAGATATTATTTTTCAATCAGATATTATTTTTCAATTTTTCCACCATGAAGACATTATTTGTCAGACCTGCTCTTACTTAACCTAAGTAAATACAGCAAAGTATTCCATAAAAATACAATAGATCATAAAGGAGATTGCCAGAGTGGGTTTTATTTACCAACTACCACCTTCCTAGCAAAGCACACCTTCCCTTCAGTGCCAAATCTAATTCCAGCTTCCTCCAAGTTTTCTACAAAGCAAAGCAATATGCTGCATGAACTTTGAATGCTAAATCTTCTTTAATATGGAGTCCTGAGCTGAAGCCCAAGTCCTGCATCCTGCAGCACACACAGGCTGCTCCATCCCAGAGCAGCTTTGCTGAATTCAGCAAGCTGTTGCCAAGCAAAGCATTTCGAGACCAAGAACTTGAGAGGGGAAAATCCCAGGGGCAGGAAACAGAATTGTAACATTTGCAATTCTGTTAAATAACAGAAGAAATCTCCAACAATTCATCAAATGAAATGCATTTCATATTTGCTGTAACTGTTTATCCAAGCACAGTCACAAGAAGAGCAGATACAACAGAATAAACTGTTTACTACTCAGAAGTGTTAATGAATTATTGTAGTTGGTCTCCTGTACACAAAGAGAGAAATGGAAAGCAAACTCCTTGTGAAAGTTGGAAGTTACCAGTCAACCATAACCCTCAGCCAATTGCTGGCTCACAATATTCCCTCACAGTGGATTGGGATGGGGAAGTCCAGACCCCCCGTCACGGTGCTGCTCTCCTCACAAAAGTCAAATGTAAAACAGCTTCCACAGTTAAACTGTCCTGCTCTTAACGCAAAGTGACAGAGAGTGACTGAAGACATCCAGTGGCTTTATAGCTCTCTAAAATATCAAACCAGAGTCTTGATTGTTTGATCACTCTCAGATGAATGGTATAAAAGGTACAATGATTCTGTGAGCCTACAACCTAAGGCTTCTAAAGGGGAAGGGAAAGGAAAACAACACTTGGTGAACACAAATACGTTTTAAGGAGAAAAGCAAAGAAATCAAGAGTTTTTCATTCTCAGCCTCTGCATGCAAACGGTATGTTTCCCTCCCCACACCTTTCCTCCTCTCATGTTGATGCACAATCAAATACAATCAGATGTGGCTTTGATGCAATTTCAATTTCTAATAATACTGATTAAGCAGAATATTGACTTTTCTCCCCGTCTGGTTACAGGTTTTGTTTTCACCTTCAGGTGATAATGGGGTTTCTCTTTGTTTTGTTTGTTATTCCTACATGAAGAACAAAAATTTTCCTACAGCCTTCAAACAGGAGCAACTTAAGCAACCTCTTGAACTGCTATAAAAACCAAAGGGAGGTCACACCTCAGACATGACCCTTCCTCTTTCTAACACACATCAGGTGCTTTGTTATCTTTGTTATCCCACTAAAATACATGGGAGGAATTATGCACCTGTGGATGGGCAGCTTTTCTGCCCTTCCCAAGATATTATTTTGTATAAGAGGAAGACTTAAATATCAAAAATCTCCTGTAGGGCAAATTACAATGTGTTATTCAACAATCCTATCCCTTTTATGGGAATCTGGTGAAGATTTGGGCCATATACAAATCCAACCTAACGCTGGATCTTCCTCCAAAATTTCCCTGACCTGTGGTCAAATTAGCCTTTCATAAATAACCATTAACACGTGGTAAAACTACATACAAAGTAAACCAAAGTTTTCCTGCACATAGAAATTCCCACTGTCAAGCAAAAAATTGGAAGCTCTTGTCATCATCATCATAGAAGGTGCCAAAAAATGACTGGGAACACAGTTTTCTTGTGACATTAAGAGCCACAGAAACCTAAAGGGAACCTGATAGTGCAGCGAGCTTTTGGTTTTCCATCACAATTCAGAGAGATCTGAATATTTTTGAATGAGGCATGATCCCACTGCAACCTGCATACAAAAAAAAAGAGCTTGAATTCTAGTTATACCTAGATTTTTTATATATATATATATATATATTGCTGTTTGCAATGGTTTCTTGGTACTTTTATCTTCATATCTTAATTCTGTAAGATCCTAAATTGCAAAGATTTCCCACTTTTTATTCTCACTGGGTGACCAATGTGCTGTCAACACGAAAGTGTTTTCCAAGACAACCTCAACATCCCCACAACACCGTCAAACCACCGTCTTCCTACTTGAAACAGGATGGGAATTCTGACAATTCTACTTTCAAAGCGCAAAAGCATTCCAGCACGGAGCTGCACTCTGTTGAAAGCTGAAGTGTGACAGATGCCTTTGCACTAATTGCCAATCAGATGCCACGTAGCAGCTGAAAACACAAAGCATCACTTTGATCTCCTGGGCTCTCAAAGTATTCCCGATCAAGGAATCTGCACGAGGAATATGAAATATGCAGCATTTTCAAAAGCTGTCTCTGCGCAGCTTAAATATGATAATGTATATTTTGTTCATACTTCATAGAGCATTTCCAATCCTTTATTATGCGTATGAAAGGATATGTTTTAGCTTGCAAAGAGAAAAACAAACATGAAAGAAACGCTTTAGATTTCAGAGACATGGAGGTTTCCATCGGATAACGCAGGTGAAATAATCGCTTAGAAAGGCCTGGATCGCTTTGTGAGGAAGAACATCATTACAGAACATGCTTAATTAAGTCCCCCTGCTAATTCTGTCAAATGAATACCTTGTTGAATTAGACCAGAGGGAAATGGAGGCTGCACAGCAGCAGCACGTGCTGAGAAGGAAAACTCTGAGGAAAGGCTGACTTACATTTGGCAGGCAGGTCGTACCCACAGGTGATTTTGGCCTGTCCGGTCTCACACCCACTCAGGTTCCGACACTCAGCAACCAAGCAGGGCCCAGCAGCTCTGTGTATGCAGCCATCCACTGCAAAAAAACCCAAAAAACATGCGGTCAAGAAACCCCAGTTCTCACATTTCACTCAAATGGATCATCACAAACATTTACTGTCCATTTTCACATCCACAGACCCATCGATCTGCAGGTCGACATCCAAATAAATACAACTTTTTTTCAGCCCATGTGTTTTTCAAAAACCTAATAGTTAGTCAACTTGTTGCTAATTGGAAAGAAAACATACATAAAAGGTAAAGCGGAATAAAAATTTCAGTGTTAGAAAAGGGGTTTATTCAAGCTCTAAGAAATTCTCAGTACAAATTATGAAAACAAGTGTGATCCCCATCTCTTTTATTACACACCTCTGATACTTCTACAATTGTGCAAATCATTTAATATCACTGTCCCACTAATGCCTTACACAAAAATTCCAAGAAATAATGCTTATGGGTTTGAAATATTAAAAAAAAAACCCTAATGTTGACCTTTTTTCCTTTTTACACTTTTTTTTTAATTTTGCATTATTCATGCAACACTTCGGAGTTAATTAAAAAATAATTACTGAAGGTTGCAATTGCAGCTAAGTATGCAAGAAAATTAGTAGAGTGCATAGATCTTATTACCCTCAGGAGCCAGCAAAAGAATAAACCAAGGCTGCTGGCACAGCAATTCTGCCCTCTCAACATGCAATCCAAGAAATCATTTACTGTAATTATAGCAAAAAAGTTTGAGAAACAGGATACAAAATAATAAGGGAAATTGTTTATGCATGAACATATTAACTACAGCAGGGCCCTAATTCAGCAGCAACGACGGAGTTCAACTGGGAGAAATAATCATCATATAAATTACAATATCCACTCAAAAAGGTTGAGCTCAGGTATAAAGGCTGAACAAATACTTATGGAGAAAAGAAAGATTCTGGATGCATATCATTCTATATTTATTTCAGATTTTCTTTCAGGTTTTACCAATTCAAAGTTAAAGCAGTATCCAAGAGCTTATTGGAAGGTTTCAAACCAGAACAGGGTTGAAAAGCCAGGTGTGGATGGGTTTCCAAGACATGCACAGCATAAACTGTAGATTTGGGCTCAGATTTGGGCAATCCAAGGGTTGGGCACTCAGTATCCCTACTGAGCACTCCCTGCCCACTGGGATACAGGGGAGCAGGAAAAGCCCTTACTGCAGGATGGGTTTTGAAGCTGGAATGGAAACAACGAGTGGCCTTCCAGCATCAAGGGCACAACTGGCTTTGTAAGGTGTTGAGTATTTCCTGAAGCCACATATCTCAAGTGGAGAGGCAGAAAACATCTTCAAATGGATGAAACCTTCTTCTACTGAGTGTTAAAAACCTGACTGCCTTTTCTAAAGAGTTCTGTGCCAGAGCTGACATTCAGGTGACACAGTCAAATTGGATAAGCAGCTCCTGGCAATACTCCATCTTCATCCTGTCCACAGTGCCACTGATTTTCAAACAGTCATTTTGAAATACTTTATATTAGACAGAAAGATAATTAAGAATCATGTGATGTTGCACTTTCAGCAGAGTTTTCTCAAACTTCCTTACTGAAAAGAACGTGGATGCCAAGCCACCAGCTGTGGGCATGTTGTGCACTCCCTATCTGTTCTTGCTCTGCCTTAGCTGAACTTGGTTTTAACTTACCCAAAATCTCTGCTCAAGAGACTCTAAGATGCTAATGCAAGAGTAATATTTTGTAACCTCGAGGGGAAAAAAGAACGTTTGAAATCCCTCCTGTGCTCACAACATCCGATTTAATTATTTTCACTTAATTACTAAATGCTTTCCCAACCCAAGCAGGATAAGTAAACCTGTATGCACTGAAACCAACCTCAAGTATAATTTTATAAGCACCACCACCACAATCTTTACCAACACTAGTATTTCCTGAGACACCAACATAAAACCAGTACTTTCTGCATGATTCTTTACAGAGGAAGATGCCTTTCACCCCAGGAGTACTGGACAAAGGAAACAGTGATAAAGGCAGTCTATCAGTAGCTTCCTGGAGCTGGTTCCACACAGGTCTGTGTCCAGCCTTTGCAATGCAAGGAGCCTCCAGAAAGATGAAAGACTAATTGAAAAAAAAATTGAATTCTTAACAGGAAAATCAATTCCATCACAACCAATCCTGACACATGACAAGGACAAGGGAAGACATCTGCCAAACCTGAAAAAGTAGATGTGCAAACTTCCCTTATAAAGGTGGCACAACATGAAGTGATTGAATAATCCAGACAGGCATGGATGGAAAAGTAGAAATTAGCATTTGATGTACTTCAGTGACTGACACAGAAGAATGAAGGATGGGAGTGAACAACACCAAAGAGAAAACCCAAACACCAAACTGCTCAAAGTTCTCAAAACAACCTCTTTTTTCCATACTTTATTAAATACATGAACAGAGATGACCTCTGGTCTGCGTACACGTTTTTCATTTAATATGATAATTTAATAAATCATGCTAGAAATACTCTATGTTTCCAATAATATAATCTAATATACACTGCAGAACACAGGTTTGAGAATTCTTAAAACAAAACCCAAGCACTGAAATATATTGCCAAATCTGAGCACTCTGCATAACACAAAGAAAATAATTGGCAAAGGAAAGGTAGAGTGGATTAACAAATCTAAATGTGATTTTAGCCTCTGCTAAAACATGTCTTAGCTGCATTAATTACAAAAAAAACCATGGAACAGGAATTCACAAAACATTCACATGAGCTATTTTGTTTGTTGGACGTGTGCATCAACTAGTAATGCCAGTGTACAGAGAGGTAAGCCCTGTTAACATGGAAACTTTGTGGAAATTACAGATAATGACAACAACCTCAGGAGGGAAAAACCATGGCCAGAGATATATTGTTATTGTGCAGTAAGAAAAGAGAGATTTATGTGATAATAATGTCATGCTGCCAAATGAATAGGACAGTGAAGAACCTCTGATACATTGGTTTCAGAGATCTCATCTGTATCATCTGTTTGCTGGATAGTTGCTCATCTGCATTCTTCTAACCAGAGCTGGGAAATTTTCCATCATATCCCACCGTTCCTTCCCTAGAACTTCTTTGTGCAGCTGGTTGAAAAACCCAGACCCTTATGGTCAACTCTGACTTGGCCTCACGTGACAGTGATAAAACTTTGCCTTGTCACTACTTTCTACAACCAATGGAAAATGCCCTCACTCCACCTCACTTTTTCCACAGGCTGCCTTCCCATCGAGGTTCATGGAGATCACATACATGCTTTGGGTAATTTCCATACACAAGTGACCTGCCACTTCACAGCTCTGGGAAAGATATGGGAAAACCCCAGAAAAAAACTGTTACTCATCACTGACAAGAGATCCCGTCTCCATTCTCACGGTGATTAATTGCCAACACTTGAAGGCACTGAAGGCAGGGCTTGCAACCATCCTCATTGAGACTGTGCTTCTTGGAACAGGTGTCAGGCTTAAAAACTGAGAACTCCCTTCCCTGTGCTTGTCCAGGAGGGTGCATGAGGGAAGAGAGACCAAAATCCTTAGAAACAGGTTGGTTTATAAGACCTACAAACATGAACTATACTTTGATGGCTCAAGAACCTTCAGATTCAGCTCCATAGTTCAAGCTGTTCATGCTTGTGTAAAGCTATTAAAAGTACTGCTCCAAATCTTTTCCATGAAAAATAACATTAGCAATTCCCTTGCATGCTTCCACAAGTTTTAGGAGCCACCAGGGACAGCATTTTGTCCTCCCAACAATTCAGCAGAAGCCATTAATGAAGAAAAACACCTTTCAAAGCTGCTGCAGTCATGGCATTGCTCGCACAGTGAAGTCACATGGAAATAATTACATAAAATAGATGAACAAAGTCAAGTATCAAAATAAAACTCCTATGCAAAAGGATAGTGTATTAATAACAGTGTGGAATATGGAATCTTTGACCATCCTTCTCACTGCACGCTGAAGGGTGTAACAGGTTAAATCCCTTCTTATTTAATTTATTGTGAAGCAATTGCATTTGTTCTCCAGAATTAAAGGGTTAAAGTTATATAGTTATAAAAAACCTAGCTAATTTACTGGTGTACAATATAGAACAAACCTATTTCTTATAGAAAAATCTCTTAAAATTGCAAATGAAGCAAAAGTGCAGGAAACACAGAATTAAGGGTATCATGGGATGCTGCTTAAAAAAAAAATAACCTCAGCAAAACTAGCCTTGCATTGCAGATGGTAATAAAAAAGGGTAAGGTAATCAAACACCACAGCAAAAAAATACAAACTCCCCCAGGAATAATAAGGCCCAAATTTCTTTTGTGACCTTGTGTGAGAGTCTGAACAAAGTGAAGCTCTGATGTAAATAACATATGCAGATTGATTGTGTTGCATTTCAAGAGTCCATCTATTCTTTTTTTCCATAGTAATTTGTGTTCTCTGGTGCTTTCCCAGATTTTTATTCCTTCTTTTCAGCAGGAAAATTCAGGAGGTTTAGTTATTTAAGTAAGTCACTTGTGCATGATTTTTCCAGGAAATGGTGCTGTTCCTCCACAGGGCAAATGCCAGGAGTGGATAAAACCAGAATAATGTCCTTATATCAGAGACACTGCTGGGGGGACACAAGAGGAAGCTACTTTGCCCAAACTGGAGCAAATCTCTGCTAAACATGTCCTCAATCATTGTGGACCTTTCAAAAACACCCATTGCAAGGATGTGTGAGGGAATCAGAAGGGAAAAAAAAACCCACAACAGGAAAAAAAAAAACCACTGAACCCCCAAATAACAACCCCAAAAAAACCCAACTGGCAGCAAAACCCAACCTAATTCTGCAAAGAATAGTACCTCAAAGAAGTTTATTGTAAGCAAGTGCTGCCAAAGTTGAAACTGCCCCTCTGAGAGCGATGCCAGGGGAAAATAAATCCTGCCCAGCAAGAGACAACAGCTGCTGGTCTAATGAACAAAGGTGGGCATCTTAAAACGATCCCAACACAGATGCCAGGATGGCAGTTTATATCACAGAGATGGCCTCT